ATCAGAAAAGTTACACTTATAACCGTTTTCCTTTTGGAGTAATTTATGATACAAAAATGTATGAGTCATTCATTATATTTGGAGGTGAGCCAAAACTCATGTTGGAATGCTGATGATAATAATATGCAAAATGATGATGATAATTCTATCTCAGTGCACTCTCTATGCATACAACGCTTATTTATGCTATAGTTGTGATTTTTTGTATACATGTTTCTTGACTCGTGGATTATTTGTCATTTTGTATATATATATTCACCTACACATGTGACTATAATATTGTTATATTTGTCCAAGCGTGAGATTAACATAGCTGTAATTATTAAAGTGTATATCTTTATGTATATTTATTAATTGTTCTTCTTCCTATTGGTATGGGTGGGTGAAAAAACATCAAATCACTTCACTTTAACGAACTCTCACTCATTAGATAAATATAATATCTATAGAAAAAATATATTGTTCATCTGTGTTGGCGGTGTTTAGAAATATGTACAAGATCAGTATGCGCAAGAGACAACGTTCGTTGTAGAGGCCATGGTAGTTAGTAGATCCTGATTAATGTGGAACTTTATGAAGTCTTCTTCGTGGGTTTTTTTTCACTTTGATGACATTTGTATCATAAAATATTTCTAAAGTTCTATTATTTCCCACCTAACATTGCAGAGTTCTACTACCAGCCATGGTGAAAGTAAACTCCAAGTACCAAAAAAAAAGCGCCAAAGCACCGATCACAGAATGTCTTCCTCTGAAATGTGGCAAAAATGCCTGTCAGTTTTGCATTGGAGTGTCAATAGAACAATTAAACCATATTCTATATGTGTATTCATCTAGGTCGTCTAACCCTAACACGAAACTGTCCCTAAACTAATCCTCGTGTAACTCAAACCAATCCTAATATCTTTCTTATTGGGTTAACCTAACCTTAAACTGTCCTTAGCCTAGGCATTAACTTAATCCTCCCCGAACTAAACCTAAAACTTACCAGATATTCCGTCTAATATCATAATATTTCATCAAGTATATTTTATTCATGATTATAATGTCACATGTCTGGTTTCGCTAATTCGCTCAGTGAGAGTTCCAAGGTGATTGGGGCAACTGCACTCCTTTGGCGCTTAAAGTTTAACTTGTTCATAAGCACTAAGAACTTATAACAAATTTTATATTTACTCTCGCATAAAAGAGATTTAACGATAGAATCAACTTAAAACAAGATCCGATAAATTATTTATATTATAATTTAACAATCTAATTTTCTATAGTTTGGTTTGTAAGGATTAGTTATGTTTTACGAGTTGATCACGGATTGATATCAGTTAGAGAACCATTGAAAACCAGGGAGTACTGGACAGCTGCTGTTTCATCCTAGTTTGGGAATCATCGGCAGTACGCACCCACTGGGTTTCGAACCCAGGACCTTCCGGTTGGGGTCGCGCTAAATCACGAATTGGTAGAAGTTAGAATTCACGAGCCATTGAATCGGGTCCCAGTGGCTGAATGGTATACGAGCTTGCCTTGTAACCGGAAGGTCCCGGGTTCGAAACCCAGTGGGTGCGTACTGCCGATGATTCCTAAACTAGGATGAAACAGCAGCTGTCCAGTACTCCCTGGTTTTCAATGGTTCTCTAACTGATATCAATCCGTGATCAACTCGTAAAACTTAACAATCTAATACCATCAGTGTCGTTTGCTTAACGTACTAATATTGGAATTGTCAAATTCAAATTAATTTTCCTGAGATATCTTATGAAATAATCAGCTATAACGATTTCAGTAGTATAAATGTGTCTTACGTGAACGAGATGAATATTGAACACAAAATTTAACTTGTTTTCACTGGATAAGACTCTAAAATAATTCATTCTAATGCTTTTTGTAACTTATTTATCTGTATAAAATAAAACACTGTGACACAATACGATAATTGAGATGTCTACTTTGATTGGAGATTAGTTATTGCCTAGTGTCCCATCAAAGTAACCATTACAGTCCTAAAGGAGATCAGTCGCGAGACCGAATAGCTCAGTAGTAATGTTTCTGACTGCGGCACTGAGTGCCCAGGGTTCGAGTACTGGAAGGGATATGAATTCCTTGAAGATTGCATATACACCTTACTGACTGTTGAGAGCCTAGGTCCGAAGCTTCCTCTACTTAGCCACCACCCACTTAATTGAGCTATCCAGATACATTCAGTGTAAGGGAAAGTGACTCTTCATATCAAGTCTGTCTTTATAAAGAAGTTGCTATTCATTCCTGTAATATCCTCTTACTGTTGTCGACATTTAATAAAAGTATTTAGGGGAAATACTGAAACCTATCACCCATAATTACGAACATTTTATCAAGTATTCTTACTTATTTTTAAAAGCAAACCATTTCTCATCGCAAAGATTATTCAAAAACCGGTAAACCATAACAAATATAAATATTCTTTGAACAGAGAAAATCTCTTCGCTCAACACCATCTTTCATTGTGTTTATCACGTTTTTAAAAGTTCAAAGGATGGATGTAAACTTTCACGTGAGGAATCAAAGAAAGCCTACTAATCCTAAATACGACACAGTAGGGCAGTCCATCGTCTAGTTTCCTTTATATTATAATTAACCTGTTACATATTCTTAATATTATTACTTAGGTAATCTATGTAAAATACCATGCTGAATCTTATTAGGCAAAAATGACTGCCTAGTTGAGTTTCAACATAGAATTATGTACAGAAGTGTAGCAGTTCAAGTTGCCACACTCCATATAGCAAAAGAGGGTAGACTAGAAAGAGAAAAACGCTACTTGAAAGAACTATGATTGAAAAAAACTCACGGGAGTATTAACATGGAAAATATGACAGTTTAGTGGTTATTAGAGTTCACAAAGAGTGAATGCATCTTCCCTACTGATATTGATTTTGAGTCACTTGTTTTCAGAATTCCAAGTACTCCAACCAAACCCTCTGCATCTCCCCACATGATTAGATCAGGGCAACTGTCAAAGACTTCATGAACTTGTGCTCAATTTTGGTTTGACTACCCACTAACTCTTTTCCAGTCTGATCCAATCTCGGCTAACATTGCCCGTCGAGGAAGATAATGGCTAGACAAGCATACTACATGTCCTAGACATCTCAATCGATATAGCTTCTCTCTCTCTTCACCGTACACTTGACTTCACCACATTATTACCAACTAGAACGCAAACATCTGTGGTGAAAAAAACACAGTCAGACTAGATCAGCGAATTAAAAAGCTGATCTGTTGTCAGTCGAGTAGTGTGCAGGAAAAAGTAACACACTTGGTTTGATCTACTATATATGTGTGTAAAAAAAGGAAAGATTGTGTGCACTTTACATAATCACACGTATAGGTACAAACAAACGAAACAAAACAAAACAAGTACACAGCAAAGCCAGTCTAGACGGAAACAATAGTTTATACTATGTATATGTATATATAGATAGATAATGTTATATATATAAATAAATTCTGAAGGCCAGTGTGAGCAATTTCTCAATAAAAAAAGAGATAAATAAATAAATAAAAGTAATCATATCAACAGAGAGTAAAAGAAATTAAGGGAAAAAATATCATGGACTAAAACAGCAAAGAAATAAAGAATTTGTTGTACTTGGGGGTGTATGCAGGTGGGTGTTTGGTTGGTAGATAACCAACTTCATGAAACCATACAAAGGAGCCTTCAAAGGACACAGAGAGTGAGAGAGATTAGAATTACTTTAGTAATGAGCAATTTAAGCAGTGCAAACATACACACACACAGTCTAAGTAAGGTATTTCATTTTTGCATAGCATCGAAAACAAAAATACAATTGAAGATAAAGTAAAAAGAAAAGAAAACTGGAGGAATATTAGTAAAGCAACTTTTACATAGCATGGTAATAACCGATTACCCTCTGTGGAAACAGTTTAAAATCAGAAATATCCAGATAACAGCATTATACACATAAATGTACATAATTGGTGTGTGTATGTGTGTGTGGGTGGGTGTATGTGTTTGTTTGAGAAAAAGAAATGAAGATAACACATTAGAAGAAAAGCTCTCCATTTGTCATTACGTAATATAAGTCTACAAAAAAACAATCGATAAAATAAACACAATCATAAAATGACCTTACACCCGTTAGTACAGCTGACTGATCAGCATATTTGAAGAATAGATGTGATGATAGGTGGATGATAAAGGTTGGTGGAGTACACGATGATTTTCATTAACGGGAAATCAATCAACCTTGAATAACTCATGCCACACACATACACACACATAGACAATTGATTGAGTGGGGGTCATTGAGAGTACTGTGATTCCAGTAAATTAAAATAGGGGGATGGGGATGAGGGTAGCAATATTTGTACAAGAGGATGGAAGGTAGTGTCAAACTATAAGTGTAATCATAAAAAATAATGTCATTAGTAGGTTGATGACTTGGGTAAAATAACATTTGGTTAAGATTAAAATAATCAAATAATCAGTAAAATAAACACACCATATTTCAAAAAACGTGAAAAATATAAGTCAATTGCGAGGGGGCGGGGAGAAATACACTGTACACGGAAATATATATATGCATATATATATTATAGGATGGGGTAAAGCAAATCGATAAATTTGTGGAACACTCACACAGACACACACACAGAAACAAGCAGCTATCATAAAGAAAAGAAAACAATAATTGTTCATTACCATAAGGGTCAGTCATTGATTGATAAAATTTAAAATTACAAATCAAGAAGTGTGAATGATTGTGAGGTAGAAATAATAAAGCATTACAAAAGAAAGGAGTTTCAGATTCTGCAGGCACACAGCTCAATTTTCATAATGAACAATTCGAAATAAAGAAACATATGAGATCGTAGTGAACAATAACGGATAGAAGTATATATATATATATATATATATATATATATATATATATAATTCATCACAATGAGTGTTGTGTAGAATGAGCATATTGAGGAGAAGAAGTAAAACAATTGAGCGTTAAGCGTCATACATGATCCATACTAACATTGCCTCCTAAAAACCATTCCCGAACTGATAAAGGAGAATTTAGCTCTGAAGCTGATGAGGATAGCAGACTACTTAAAGTGTCTGTTACATCTGAATTTGGATTATTTGTAATATTTGTATTTGAAGAATAAGATGCAACACCTGAACATGATGATGTATTATTCGAATGAGTTACAGGAGTTGAATAGACTTGAGGTGTTGTTTTAGTTGAATTAAGAAGTGCAGGCCAAGGGAATAAATTCATAGAATCTGATTGGGGAGTAAGATAAACAGAAGGATAAACATTAATAGTTGCATTTTCACTAGTTGGTCGAAGTTGTTTATCAAGGGAATTCGATTTGGTTGATGAATAAGATGACGATGAATCCGATGACGTTGTACTTGAACTACCTGAACGCCAATAATGTAAATGAACAGGAAGTTCTGTATTTTGGATTTGGGAATGTGAAGAGGACACTGCAGTTGAACAAGGCGATCTATTACTAACAGCTGTTGAAACAAGCTTAGTAACAGACATAACAGATGCTGCATGACTTGCAGTTGAACATGTACGTAAATTGTTAGCATTTACAGCCAGAATAAGTTGTTTTCCTTCATTTGAAGATAAAGAATCCGAGCGTGAGTAGTAACCAGAACTTGAGTCAGATCCATTGGAATGGAGACGTGGCAAAATTTCTGGACATGATGTTTGCTGACATGAAAGCTGATTATCTGTAGGATGAGTTTGAACTATAAAACCTGACCGTTCATTAACCTTTGTATTAGGAATAGACCATAGTGTTTCATGTTTAGGTGACACACCACATACAGAAGATTGAGGATATCCATCACCAGTATGAATGGTTTGAAAAGTGAAGTCATTCCTTGATCTTACCGACTCATTGGTATCATTTGGGATATGTAAATTAATGCCAGATTGGTTTTTGATATCGCATGAATTAAAACTAGAATTCATAGCAATATGTGAATGATTCACATTATCAGTTGATTTGTTTCTATGGTTATTAGAAATACCGGAAGATGAAGGGTTCGTAAAGGAACAAGAATACGCTAAACCAGATGCCATTTGATTTGACAAGTTTGAGTTTTGCGTTCCAGAAGAAGAATTTTGTGAATCAGTGCGTTAGTCACATTTGAATTAATATCGGTACTTGATTCACGCGTAGCCAATGCATTTTCTAAAGCATTTAAAGCTATTTGAAAGGCAGGTGGAATCTGAGTACCAGGTTGTGGTCTATGTGCTTGCATCCACGGGTGCTGCAGAATTTCCAATAATGATGGACGTTTAGACGGATCCATATTTAAACAGCTCCTGAAAAATTTAAAAATAAAAGTGTATAAGATTTATAAATTAAGAATTTACTGATTCGAATAAATTACAAGAAATATATCTATAATAAAACTGGGAGAAATGAGGGATAAACAGTTAGTTACTTGTAGAGATTCTTTTTTTCAGGTTAGACTAGAGAGAACCTTTGAAGAATAGCAGGGAGTACTAGACAGCCGTTTCGTTAGCCTAGTTTGGGACTCATCATCAGTACTCATCCATTGGGTTTCGAACCCAGGACTTTCTAGTCACAAGGCGAGCCCGTATATCATTCAGCCACTGGGACTTGATTCAATGGCAAGCCCATGAATTCTAACTTCTACTAATTCGTGATTTTAGCGTGACCACCACCCAGTACTCTCTGATTTTCAATGATTCTTTAACCGATATCAATCCGTGGTCTAATCTGAAACAAATACAATTCCTTCAGACTAATTTTTAGAAATAAACAATATCCACAAAGCTGAAGTCGAAATATGAAAAAACTTATCAGTGTCCAAGTTCTAAACGTATCTTAAGGAAAGCTCTACCTAACTTCATAAAACTGCAAAACTAACTTCTTAATTCATTTATATTCATCAAATCTCAGGTGTACTTTTTACGAATGTTTTCATCGGTTATGACTTTTCACAAATACATTGACCAGGCTGTCCATAACTTATTTTCACCAGTCAAAGTTAATGCAGAATTTCAAGCTGAAATCTCAGAATACTGTAGTTCGTATAGGTGAAAGTCTAGATTAAGGTATTCTCTATAGTATAAAGTCTTTGACCTTGAACCTCTTCATTTATAGAGTCAAATATAAGTATATGAATCAAACACATTTAGAGTATTAATAAAATAAAACTCAAATCCATCAACGACTAGCAGACGACTAAACATCTAAACTGATAACCTTCATTCTTGGTGACTGAAGTGTACATGTAAACACTTGACATCCCTGAGATCTAACTTCACAATGTGTTGATATTAAAGTACATCAAGTTTTGATTAAACATGTAAACACAAATATGTGAAAAAAGATGAAATGAAGACATTCAGCACGCCGATAATCCTATTCACATTACATGGATCGATCAATGGTTTTTGTTCTGATTTCAGATTCTTCAACAATGTGCACCCTACCACTCTACATTCAGTGAAAAGTATGTTATCCTTCAACTAGTATGTAAGAACTCATTGGCTAGCGATTTCCCACTTCTTCAGAAATCAATGTCGAAATAAAGCAAACCAATAAAATTTGATTGCAATCTATTGCTCATCAAGAACTAATATCAAGACTGATCTCGAGGAGTTCTACTGGAAGTTTCTGACCAATAGAAATCACCAAGTTAGATATGAGATCATGTACTCATCAACGACATAAAATGGTGATTGTAGATCCCACATCGGCGATTTATAGTATCCCCCTCCCCGACATTAAGATCATAGTTTGTCATCAGTCCGAAACGATTCAACTTGCCGATTAAATCACAATTTCACTTTTCTTCGACGTCATACACCATAATTAATTAAGTGAAATATACAAACTAGTTCACAATAATATAATCATCAAATAAATTTGAATAAACTTTAAATTTAACTCACGCAATAAGATGTTTAGCTGCTTCACTTAAATTGTCTCTACGATATCGTAACTTTCCTCCAATAATACCCTTATCATTTACGAAAGGAATATCACCGCATAACATATCATAAAGTAGTACACCTAATGACCATACTTCTGCTTGTTTTCCATGATATCGACTATTTAAAATCCATTCAGGTGGGCTATAAACACGAGTACCTAATAAAGAAAAGAAAAAAACAACAACAAGAATTAAAACAGATAAAACATTGTTAAAACAGGCAGAAGAGACCAGTTTTCAAATAGCATGCACAAACTATAAGGTAGAATATCAGTAAAGTAGAAAGTATTTGTTTCACAAACCCAGAACAACAATATCACACACAGTAGCTATACAAAATTGACAAGACAATAAGAAAAATCCAATTGATACTTTCTATTTTCGCCTTTTCCTTCGCTGTGCTTTTAAGAAACACAGTGAAACAAAGTATGCTATGCTATGGTAAATATTCACTGTTCATTTAGGGAATAATCCGGTGATTCTGGTGCCCTTTGAGCTGTTGATCGCCTTGTCGAAACTCTCCAAGTTGGTTTGCGCATCACTCCCCCCCCCCCCCCGACAAACTCGGTATATTATGGGCATCAAGAGATGAACCGACGCTATTTCATGGAGCAGTCTATGGTATGGCATAGAATTTAATGAGGCTATGCATATGATTTAGTGGGTTTTTTATGCACACATCAGTGAATCAATGTCTAACCTGGTACATAAACCAGGTTTGTAACTTGGGTCCTACTAACCAGAAGTTAAGCACCGACACCAGTGAATCATATCTCCACCACTATAACGTTGACTAGATCCATCTGTGTTAGATGGTTGGAGGTAAGGCACAGGAAAGACTAGGTACACCCTAGTGACCAATCAGCTTATCCATTACAATCCTATAGGACTGCATACAGAGACAGGTTTGGCTGATTTACTGAGAGGAGCCCATACCGTTTACTCCCCTCCCCCTTACTGCCAAAATCATTGTTTTCCATTCTAGCACTTTCACTTAGTAATACCACACAAAAAACTTCACACATCATCTATACAGCTGATGATCAGTAAGTAATATTACGACCAAATTATGACATAATTAGTCTAAAAGTCTATTGCTTTAAAACACGTAATTTTAAGAAGATAATTAAAAGGTCATAACTTACCATCAAAATCTGTATACAAACGTGATTCAAGAAATGCACCAGAACCAAAATCAATTAGGACTAATTCATTTGTTGTACGATTTATTAAAATATTTTCATCTTTTATATCACGATGTAATACACCAACTTTATGACAAGATAATAATATACCAGTTAGTTGATGAAAATATATGCAGCTTCACTTTCAGATAGTGTACCTCGTTCACCAATATAATCAAACATATCACATGTTGTATTCGATACTTGATCCATAACAATTGCCCATGATTGACCAAAATTAAAAGCATCTAATAGACGAACTATTCCAGGTAAACCTTGACACATAACAAGAAGTACAACTTCAATTGGCATTAATTGATTGTCCAACTACGTAAATATAAGCGACAGAGAGAGAGAGAGAGTGACGGTGGGGGAGATGGAGAGAGAGAAAAACAGACAATATATATATTAATAATTATATGAAAAAAAAAATAATAATAACAGTAATAAGAAGAATGATAAACTAAACAAAATTGTATTCATGTTACTGAGTGGCATTTAGTTTAACTAACTTTATACCAATACCACACAGTAGTAAAAATTAATTGTAGTTGAGATACGGACAACCTAACTAAAAGACACATTGTCTTATGTCCTAGCACATGGACACGAGCTAGGCAGTACACGTATATGAACAGACAATACGTTAACTATCAGTCACAGTAATGACTGGGGTAAGGGTGGGAGAGAACAGGAGAAAACAATCAACCAACCAGGTAGCTAACACACTGCATATGTGCATACAGATAAGGTAACAAAGAATTTTAATATATAAATATATGTATATGTATATATATTTAGAAAGATTGAGACAAAATGATACTGTACCACTTCTGAGCAGTCTGGATTTTGGTCAACCTACTTACTTCGAATCAGACAAAGCCTATGATTAAAAAAAATACACATAGTAAGACATATCTAGCGAGAAATATGGGAATAGAGAAGCACAAAACACTTTGTACATTGACTGTACCACTTATAATTATAGAGTTAAACACTGAGCGAAAAAAAATATAATGCATGAACTACACCTTCTTTGTATTCTGATCAGAAATGTTAATTACTAAGCTACAGAAAAAAGTATGCCACTAAGAATTACTGGTAAAATGAACAAATAATGGGAATGATAACATTGAATGAAAAAACTGTGACACCCAAATCACGTATGTATGTATGTACATGTACTTGAAGCTGACAATGAGTCAGTCACGTGTTAAGAAAGAACTAACAATAATGTCTAGATGCCCACATCTTAGTAGTTGAAGTGGAATTCGAAATTCAAATTCATTGGTTGGTTGAAAAGTAATTAACCAGACCAACGAATAACAACTCCACAGGGATTGTCATCGAGAAAAAAAACAGCTGTTTGAAAATGCACCAAAATGTTTCAAGGTTGAAGATGATAAGTACAGCTAATGAACATCGACAAACGCAAAAACTAGGTTGATAAAGCTTACTTCTTGTCAAATTTCTCTTAACATTTAAAACAGAATACGAAGTTCAATGAACTAAATACTCTTCAAAAGAGAAGAGATGTACAAATAAATAAAATCGATATCAAACAGATTAATTTAGACTACAATATGGATAATGGATAAAGGTGTTGCTGCTAAAGGCATTGCAGACACTTCATGCGATTAGTCATGAATGTATAATATTAAACAAGAAAATCACTCGGTAGAAAACTTTTGTTAAATGTAGAATGGAAATAACGAATGTATGATTCATTTGCTGACAAAATCTTAGTCAATAATGTAACTGAGTGTTGATAGGTACTGCACTACAATGCACTCCTGAATTAAGAGAATTTACTGGATCTTAGAAATCAGTGGTTGGGGTAATACTGACTTGTATACATTTACTTCGCAAATTCTGAATCTTATACAAATTTGCGATATTCATTAACTATTTGCCATTCCCTTCATTAAGATGTAGAACTTCTGCTTCTTATCGTGTTGGTTTTTAAGGGATTTGGTTGATTGGTTACAGGATTTCATCATGAGCTGACATTGGTTAGAGAACCATTGGAAAACCTGCAGGGAGTACTGGACAGCTATTTCGTCAGCCTAGTTTGGGACTCTTCATCGGTACACACCCACCACCAGTGTTCGAACCCAGGACCTTCTGATTACAAGGCAAGCTAGCTCGTATACCATTAAGCCACTGGGATCCGATTCAGTGGCCCATGAATTCTGCTTCTTTTACTAGCAGTTAGTTGGTATTGCTTTGTGATACTACAACGTTCACGATGAGAAGGATCTACAAACCATATGCGCAACATAAGCATTATGTGCAATTCACTTAAAAGTTTCAAATAAAAATGCGACATTTTAGTATATTTCCCCATCTCAACTACGTAATTTTGACTCTCACTACTAAACTATGATAAACTGTGAATGAATGAGTCAGACTACGAATTTGATTGATCCATGAAATTCGAAGTAACCACTTCCGATCGCATAACTCCCAAACCAGCACTAGTGATATGGCATAACTTAGCAAACACTTATTCCATCTAACATAACTCTCATGATAGCGAGAAAGCTGACGTTGAGAAGAGACCGAGGATTTGATATCCTCTTTCACATCTTATCAACAGAGAAACTTGATATAGACTATAAACTATTTGGTGTGTGAATAAACAGTACCAATTTCCTATACCAACTGACACACTTGAAGAGGGTTTGAATGCATGACTCCACAGCTGATAGCCGAACACCAAAACCAGAGAATCAATTCTACGTTTCAGATTCCAAAGTGGTGAGTGAGATCGAGTAAAAAGAAATTCTACGTTACGAAGACTCAACAAACTGATATGAAGACTTACTGAAGTTGGCTTATTATCATAGATGTTGCACACACTTAGAGTAGTGTCACATTGAAAATATGACCGTTATCTCACTAAAACAATGCAGCGAATGCTGAACCTCCGAGGAATCAAGTGATGATCCCATCAAACAACAGTAGAGAGAAAATATTTGAAGATTGTCGAAATACACCCCACCTTGCTGATTAGCTAAGGCACTCGACTATCATCCGTTGGGCTTCAGGTTCGAATTTGGCTCCATCTACTTTACTTTTGGCAACTAGGTAATATCATCAGACCACATACAACTAATGTGATTCATAACCTTGAACATGGAAGATCTGTTCCAGGAGATAAGTTCACACACACTTTTTCTCAATAATACTGATACTAAAGCGTCAGAATTACTATAAAGATGCCAATTATAGAAATTGTATGCTGATATATCTGCATGTATGAGCTAGTTTACTCAATACTGAGCTGTTAACAATTATTGCAGTAAATTCTGAGTTGTACTAACACACTACAAATGTATCATATAGGATATCAGTGAAAGTGTATACTCTCCACACTGGTTTTTATTTGATCATATACTAATCCACTTAATAGTGTGTTAGCCGTTTTAAAGTGAATGTAAAATTACATGTAATACTCAGGTGATTTGATTACTGTTGAAAGAAAAGTAATTGGGTGTGACTGGTTTTAATCAACTATTAAAAAAACTATACGCCTATTTAAAACATAGCAATCAAAATCAGAGTGAATCGATATGTACATTCTAAAGCACCACATCAATAAATTAGCTATTGACTTCACTACTTATATAAATCTGGACAATAAAAACAAGACTTTAGAACATACACATACAAAAAAAACTCAATTAATCTAGTATAAAGTTGTAAGCAAACGATCCAAAGAATATTCACTCACCAAACACCAGCAAGGAACTTTGTCTGAGCGAACTTCTTTAACCACAACTTCTTTATTATCAGATGTACGCCTAGCACGATGGACATGGCCAAAACCTCCAGATCCAAAACGTTCACCAAGTGTATAACGCCTCAGAAATTCGTAATAACCTTCATAAACCACAACCTCTATATAATAGAAATAAAGTTAAAAATATGAGTTGATCGATGAAACGATAGTAAGTTTAATACTTTAAGATAGTAGGAATGATTTTGAATACAACTGAGACCAGGCTAATACAATAAATATTTAACTCTGGTGTCAATGATTCTGCTAAACCCAAGCTCTGGGTTCGATTCCCACACTATGCACTCAACTGGTTTACTAGCCGATAGTAAGCCCGGAAAATAGGTAAGCTTGAGTGTGAAGTTAAAAATCTTATCCCATGCAGACAACACCATCGATAATGAAACATCAAAACAAAACCCTATATTCCACTCGGAAATCAAGGAATGGGAAGAATAGTTTGACCAATGAACTGTAGACGAAAAAAACCTAGAGTATCCCTGATGTCTTCAAAAATAAGATGTGTGACAGTGCAAAAAATTGGAGAAATACAAACCTGAAACATATAAAAATGACAAGAATACTTCTTCCAATAATGAAACAATCAAAAAATGTACCTGACCACCGGAAGAAACTACAAGGATGTACTCAAATACGAATAATGATAAGTATTATGATATTTCTTTAATCATAGACAGAATTACTAACAGCCACATGAAAAACAGTAATCACGTAGATTATGTACCCTGGAGACTATCTGTTAATCACTGTACTAAAAAAGACGCGCAGTTTGATTTATTTACCTATTGCGCTATACGGACAGTTTTCCTTAAAGCTTATTTTCATTCACAAACAAGTTAAGAGATAAATTTCATCGTGTTTTATATAGTCTCAAATACCAGTACCTTTGCATAATCAATTCACTCAGAAAATGTACTACACATATAATAAGGGTAAAATAAGTAGAAAAACAGCAACGCTAAATATGTTTCGTAAGCACTTTATCTTTCAAAAAATAATAATAACAAATAATTTACTTACGTAATCCTAAGTCCTGTGAACTCCTCCTTACAAGCCGACCGTTTACATAAGGGTTATTTGGGTGTTGTACAGTTGTATGAGCCATTAGGTATGTAGTCCGAAATTTAGTTAAGTTCCAGTTAAGCAGTAATAAAGGCGTAGACAGTCCACATAACAAATAATATGATGTGTAAAATAACTCGGTTTTACTAGATTTAAGTTTTTAAACACAACTATGAAGTCAATCAACTGATAAATCAACAACAGTCGTAGAACCTAGATGCTTGTTATCACAATTCAGTATGAACTGGAGCTTCACCGTTGGCGTAATTCGTTTGTTAGGTTAGACGAAACGATTCACACAATGACCAATGAAAAACTATAATATGATTATTTATTATATGATTGGCTAATATTTCCATTACCTTGACCTGTCTCTGCCTAAATGTGAATTCGACCAATCAAAACTCAGAATGATACCTATTGGACCAATGACTGAATGAAGCATTTACTATAATAACGCCCACCACCTTTTTCATTTAGCTTACACCCACATTGTCCTTAGAAGATTTATTCTGAGGTCAGCTATTCAACCAATTCTCTGATCACTTGATTTCCATTTCACGTGTTTTCCTGTAGGTGTACCAAAGATATCTTTTGCTGACATAATTTTCGGACATCCCAAGACATCGATTCAAGAAAGGAATTTGGGTACTATAGTAGTGTATAATTAATTACATAATAGAATAAATATATTTGATATGAGCTAGTAATACTTTTGTATTACTATTAATGAATTAATGCAGCTTAAAATATTTACATTATTTAGAAAGAGCCTTCAGACGTTCATAAATACTTCACTTACGCATATAACAGAAAATTAACATGTATCATTTTGATGAAAATGCTTACTTCTTATAGGCTGGTTGAAGTAAAAGCATTAAAGCTAAGTAGTGCCTATCATGCGGATATCCAGAAATAAAACTGATCCCCATTATTGAACAGTATTCGACATAGTCGAAAAATATTTTGGTTTAGGGATCGGCTTTCGTACTAAATATGCTTAATAAAAGTAAACGCAGTGGCTTCGTCCTCTTTTAGTATAATTATTAAATTACACTATGCAATATGAAATAAATATTCCAAGAAATATTCTTAAGTGGAGGTATCCAATGTTACTGCACGCAGATAAATATTCGAAATATTACGGTTGTGCGTTTAACGGAAAATGAGTATTTATTCGTGCGTCGGTGGCACAGTGGTTAGGAATCTCGCCGACCATGCACATGGTCCGGGGTTCGAGCCCACGCCGGCGCACACCTGATATCTATGGTCGGCCTGCAAAATTTGGGCTACCGATATCCATGCTGAAAATTCCATACTTGTACCGAAAATACAGTGTGGAATCAAGCTGTAAATCAAAAATAAAATAAAAATAAAAAATGCAATGGATTCGAAATTCTAGAATAGATGAAAACAAATTATTTGGCATCGCCAAACAATGTGTCGGGTGCAGCTGATATTTCGCTGCAACTGGACTGAATTTTTTCAAGTACATTTAAAACAGTGGTACATTAGCAAGTCTATCTCACTCTGATTCGCATATGAGCCTTTCTGCCTTGAAAAGTCGGTAGAATCACTAGTCCTTACATCTAAATACCCACGAAACAAACAATAAATCCGTTACATCTTGCATTCTGTGTTTCTTTTGATTTTGTTTAAATTCAATAAAAAGCATTCGTGTATGATATTTTAAATGCCTTTAAAATGTTTGTGTCGGTGGTTCAATGATAGAATAATTATCAGCCATATGGGAGTTATGGGTTCGATTTTCGGCCAGTTTCGACTGGTTTACCGATAGTGAAACTGTAAAAGAGAGAAGGTTGGGTGTGAGACAAGCAAAACCAACCCATGAAAACCAAATGCTACTACCAAGACTTCGAAGCTTGTAACGCCATGTTTCACTTGGAATTCAAGAAACGAAACAAAAGTATTAGGAGTACATTTTTCAGTAGTTAACTTCGAAATTCTAATAATAAAATTGTAGATGACAGTCTGATAAAAAATAATAATAAATGTGTCACAGATGGATTAATCGATTTGAACTGAAAGAATAATAATGTCATGAAGTTTTTAGTTGATTTTGAATATCCTGTGGTTATATCATCAACTTTCAGCGCATACACGGAATGCTCCTACTGTCATCTACTTTGAACCTCATGAACCATTGGATCGGGTCACAATGGCTGAATGGTCTATGAGCTTTACCTTGTAACTAGTAGTTTGCGTACTGATGAAGAGTCCCAAACTTGGACGAAATAGCCGTCCAATTTTTCCTGTTTTTCCAGTGCTACTCTTACTGATGTCAACTCGTGATTGAACCTGTAACTAAACTGAAGTGACAGAGAAACATGATAAAAATGACTGTGTGAATATTTTGTCATCAAAAAAAGCTATCATTGCATAAAACAACGAACATATGAAAACAAGAACTGGTTGCTAGCATCCTAAAATAAATAAATTTTTAATTCATTACGTTAAGAATCCATATTTTCGTGAGTTAAACTCAAAGTTTTATGCCTTAGAACATGAATATGAATTTAGTTGAAACTTCTTCAAGTTAAAAATATCACGAACAAATTAGCTGTCATAAAAGTTTAACTTGCTCAAATATTTTTTAAAAACTTACCTTTATTTATAGTAACTTTTTCCATTGTTCATATAACCAGTATAACTTCGTAGATTGATGACTAAAATATATTTAAACAACAAAACAGTTCAAGGTCAAAACTATATATATATACGTCATGTCACAGAGCGTCTATGTGGAATTATCAAGGCAGAAAATTTATGATATCCTAATATTATACAGGAGTTAAAGTGATGTTATCGTCGACATAAGACAAATTTGTTTACATCACTAAGGTCATACATTGATATCATCAAACAATTCTCATATTTTGCATATATATATATAACGAATGTTTCTAAATAGGCTGATAACTGTCAGATTATTTAAATGATATCAAGACATTAATACTACTATGACAACCACTTAGCCTTGTTAGTATGTTTCTCTGAGTATTCATTCTTTTGAGTTTTAAGTTGCAGTTTTCTGACTAACGGATGTATTTACTGCTATTATTGTTTGTAATTTTTCAAGAGTTGGTTTGTAAGGATTAGATCTGTTTTTTTTCGGGTGTGACCACGGATTGATATCAGCTAGAGAACCATTGAAACCAGAAGGGAGTATTGTACAGCTGTTTCGTCAGACTAGTTTGGACTCTTCGACAGTACTCACCCACACCAGGGTTCGGACCCAGGACCTTCTGGGTACAAGGCTAGCGAGCTCGCGTACCATTAAGCCACTGGGACTTGATTCACTGGCCAGTCTATGAATTCTAACTTCAACGAGGTCGTGATTTAGCGCGACCACCACCACCATCACTCACTTCTAATTGTACCTACCAATTCATCCGCGCTTGCGGAGCGAGTTATACCAGCCGTTGTTCTAGGAACTTGATTTTTCCTCCTCGCTCGGGAACATCTACCAGGGTGGTTAAATAAAGGTGTAGTGAGCAGCAGCAACAGCTCGATATTAGAACACATAGTCCAAACGGGCAACAAAGCTAATTTTTTAAAGTCCTTCTATATCATCTACGGGATACCAAATAAATTGCCAAGTAACTGAGGTGCCGTATACTCCAAACAGAAGAAGCTACCGTGACTCGCCTTAAACAAGCGACAGTTCGTGTGCAGTAGAAGAAAGTCCAGCCAGTCACCACTACCTACTGTCCTGGCCTTCACTGGAGACTAAAAATTCATGAATCTGTATTATCATTTTCCCTAATTTTTATGATATTCAGTACATTGTTATGTTGATGCTAATAGTTTAGACACAGGTTGTGAAGAACGGACATCTTAATAATGTATTGTGCAGATCCTTCTCAAAAATAGACTTAATCACCAAGTCAGTTTGCAGCGAAGCAACAATTTCAGCCTCCAGCGTCTTTCATAAATAGATTTTCATTAACTTTAAAGGAGTTGTTGAGGTTATTTAACTTTTGGTGCTTGAACTTTTGTAGTTCCTTCCATACTTCTACCTAGTTAGGTCAACTGTTTTTGACCGATCACGAAACGCTGTAATTAAGAATATTCAACACGGTATCTTTATGCAAATTGAGCTATTTTGTTGAAATTCTCTATCTTTCTCACAGGCCTCCTCTCTATCATTGTATCTCTTACTATTGATTATTTTTTCAGGTTAGAACATCTACCGAGTATTTTTGCTTGCAGATGTTGCTTTTATCATTCACAAGCACTTTCTAACTTAACCAGACTGCAGTATAACAGCGCCCCATATCAAATTATGTGAAACACTAACAGATTATTTTGGTCGGGCCTTTTTGATGCAGCAGGCACTGACAGAGAGATTATCAAGGATTCTTTCTTATGCTACTTGTAGTTAGATTTGCATCAATGTGTGAACGACATAGGTAACAAGTTTGAAGTTGACAAGTGCTGTAAGGATATTTGCATTTGATACTGTACTGAAGGCTTGTTTTTGAGATTACATTAGCTGTTAAATAGTTAAAATTTACAATCAAATATATGTGATTAAAGATTTGTTCAAATTTAAAGTAGTTGCTATGTATGTGAGTACGTGGTACTAAATAATCAGTTCAAATTTAACCAGTGTAACCGTAAGCATAGTGAATTAGTGACTAGAAACAAGCGATCAGTTATTAGTGGGACAGTTATTCTGAAATTAACTTCTTTCATGCTGTTATGTGTGTTTTATTTAGATGTGTGCATGTTCGCTGAAGCCTATACATGTTAGTTAATTCCTAAACACATACCTAAGGGACTATGGGACATCTTCAGGTTACCAAGCAATGGCTATACCAACTGAACTACAAGATAAGAAGGTGAAAATGTACTTACTGAACTGGCATCATGATGAACATGCAGACAATTAACAGCTATTGGTGGAAACCTTCTGTGAGATGTCTTCTTGACCACTGAGTGTCACACCTTAGTCCGTAACTCGAAGCTTGCCTATTCGATGTATGTGTTCCGACTAAAACTATCCCCCCCCTACACCTA